CCGAACCCTGCTCCCCCACCCCCGCCCCAGGGGAAGAGGGAGATGTAAGCAGTGCCTCCCTCCCAGTCTCTGACTCCCCAGACAAAGAGTCTCTGTGTTCCTGAAGAGGAGGGGGTGGGGCCCCATCAGGCCTGAGGGGGAGACGGGGCCCCCCAGGGTGGGAGGAGGAGAGGGAATCTCTGTAAGCCGTGCCTCCCCCCACCCCAGGGACATCTGAAGCTGAGACTTCTCTAACTAAAAGGCTCTCACAAAATTCCTGCCTGCCCTGCCTTGCTGGAAGTTCTTCCTGTAGTCTAACTACATCTTCTGACAGTTCTACACCCCTTCCCTCTATGAAACACCATTTCTGGATCCACGTTCTCTGTCTCCTTCTCTCACACTCTCCCTTCAATCAGAGATTCTTCACCCAGAATACAGACACTAATTCCCCCCAACTTTCTCAGAAACTCTCCCCAGCCCTAAATAATTTATACTCGGCCGGGCTCAGTGGCTCACGCTTGGAATCCCAGCACTTTGGGAGGCTAAGGCCGCTGGACCACTTGAGGTCAGGAGTTCAAGCCTGACCAACATGGAGAAACCTCATCTCTACTAAAAATACAAAAATTAACTGCGTGTGGTGGCACACACCTGTAGTCCCAGCTACTTGGGAGGCTGAGATAGGAGAATCGCTTGACCCTGGAAAACGGAGGTTGTAGTGAGTCGAGATTGTACCACTGCACTCCAGCCTGGGTGACAAGAGCAAGACTCTGTCTCAAAATAATAATAATAATTATATTATTAATATTATTAATTATAATATTTATTATTATTATTATTATTTACACTCATAATAAAAATTGAAAATTAAGAAAACAGTTACAAATGTCCAAGGCAGGAGGATCGCTTGAGGCCAAGAGTTGGAGACCAGTCTGGGCAACAGAGCAAGGTCCCATGTCTAAAAACAAAGTAAATTTTAAAATTAGCTGGGTATGGTAGTGTGTGCTGGTAGCCCCAGTTACTCTGGAGGCTGAGGTGGAAGGATCGCTTGAGGCTGCGGTGAGCTATGGTGGTGCCACTGCACTGCAGCCTGAGTGACAGAGCAAGACGCTGTCTCTTGAAAACAAACAAACAAAAATGTGTATAGTAGGTGTGGAGAAGAAATTTTTGGGAGATGAAGAAAATGAGGTGCAGAGAGGATTTAAGAGATTCTCTCTAACTGCCTGTTCAGGGTCAGTCCAGAATTGAGGGTCTCCTGGGGAGGGCGGAGGCTTTGCCCTGCAAATCTGTGGGAGGGGGTTAGGAGGGAGCAGACGAGCCCAGGATGAATGGTCAGAGTCAGGTGCTGCCCGGCGGAGGTCACGCGTCCAGGGAGGGGATCAACATGGCCGCTGCACCCCGGACTGTGCTGATCTCCGGCTGCTCATCAGGAATTGGTCTGGAACTTGCAGTGCAGCTGGCCCATGACCCCAAGAAGCGTTACCAGGGTAAGAGGTGTAGGGCGGCGCTAGGAGGCAGCAGGGTGGAAACAGCTTCCCCAGCACTGTCTCCCCTACCCGTCTCTCCCAGCTGCACTTGTGGGCTTGGGGAGAACTCAGGATGCATGCCGTCTTCCTCTCCCTCCAGGAATCATCCCCTCATCCTACAAATATTTCTTGAGCACCTTCTGGGTGTTCTGAATGCTGGCAACACAACGGGGGATGAAATAGACAAAAATCTCAGCCCTCGGGATGGTGTCATGCGGGGAGGAGAGAGAGAACGGGCGATAAACAGATACAAAGAAATTGTTGCTATATCTGGTGGGAATAAGTGCTGAGAAACAAAATAAAGCATGCTGAGAGTGGCAGGGGGTGGGTGGGTGATATTTTTAGAAGGGTTTCACTAGGGCATTTCCTAGATTGGAATAATCACTACCCTGATCCTCACTCCTCCACAGTCTCCCCAGATTACTGCTTTTACTGAGATAAGCTTCTTAAGCGCTCCTGACCTTGGGGGTTGAAGGGATGGCCTTCTAGTTCTAAGAACGTGCCTTTCTGCAGCTCTAGAATAAATCCCTGGGACCTGCATCCTAACAACCAGGAGAACCCCTGACCCAGAGGGTGCATGTTGGAGCCAAAGTGGGCAAAGGGTTGTTACTTACAAGGAAGCGACTGGGGGTGAGGGCATTGCCCCAGTTGGCAGGGGTGCTTCTCCCAGCCCTCTGCCCTCTGTTTTAGAGACACACACAGCTTTGAGCATGAGAGCCTGAACGCCAGTGTGCAGGGAATAACCTGCGTTCCTGTGGGCGGGCAGATGGGTGTATTAAACTGCTGGAGGCTAATGTTTACGGAGCTTTTACAATGCACCACGCTGCATTCTAAGTGCCCTGAATCCAGGAAGTCGTTTAAGCCTCACATCACACCTGTGAGGCAGGCACTATCATCCACCCCATTTTATTATTATTTTATTATTTATGTATTTTGAGTCAGAGTCTTGCTCTGTCACCCAGGTTGAGTGCAGTGGCGCATCTTGGCTCACTGCAGCCTCCATCTCCCACATTAAAGTGATTTTCATGCCCCAGTCTCCTGAGTTTCTGGGATTAAGGCATGTGCCACCACACCCGGCTATTTTTTTATGTTTTTAATAGACGAGATTTTACCATGTTGGCCAGACTGGTCTCGAACTCCTGGCCTCAGGTGATCTGCCCACCTGGGCCTCCCAAAGTGCTGGGATTACAGGCATGAGCCACTGTGCCTGGCCTGCCTCATTTTAGAAATGAGGAAACGAAGATGCAGACTGTCAAAGGTCTTTGCTCAAGGTCTCCCAGCTGCAAAGTGGCAGAACTGGGATTTGAACTCAGGCATCCCATCCCTTGCACCCATGTTTCCCACTATATCACATGTAGATGCAAGTGACCCCATTCACGTGCCTGCTACCCACGAATCACACTGGCCCGAAGACAAGAGGCAAATGCCCTCAGGAGTGTTCTTGGTTGATTATGGTTGCACACATTGGGGGATATCAAACATGCATGCTGGTGCATGTGCAGACATGGTACGTATGCTAAGGTCCTGCTTAAGAGCATAAGCTTGAGGCTGGGCGCAGTAGCTCATGTCTGTAATTTCAGCACTTTGGGAGGCTGAGGTGGACAGATCACCTGAAGTCAGGAGTTTGAGACCAGCCTGGCCAACATGGTGAAACCCCGTCTCTACTAAAAATACAAAAATTGGCCAGGCGTGGTGGTTCATGCCTGTAACCCCAGCCCTTTGGGAGACCGAGGTGGGTGGATCACGGGGTCAGGAGATCGAGACCATCCTGGCTAACACGGTGAAACTCCATCTCTACTACAAATACAAAAACTTAGCCGGGCGTGGTGGTGGGCGCCTGCAGTACCAGCTACTCTGGAGGCTGAGGCAGAAGAATGGTGTGAATCCCAGGGGTGGAGCTTGCAGTGAGCTGAGATTGCGCCACTGCACTCCAACCTGGGTGACAGAGCAAGGCTCTGTCTCAGTCAATCAATCAACCAATCAATAAAAATACAAAAATTAGCTGGGCATGGTGGCAGGTACCTGTAATCCCAGCTACTTGAGAGGCTAAGGCAAGAGAATCGCTTGAACCAGGAGACAGAGGTTGCAGTGAGCCGAGATTTCGCTACTGTATTCCAGCCTGGGTGACAAGAGCGAGACTCCATCTCAAAAAAAAAAAAAAAAAAAAGAAAAGAAAAAAGAGGATAAGCTTGGCCAGGCTCTGTGGCTCTTTGGCTTCTGACGCCTATAATCCCAGCACTTTGGGAGGATGAGGTGGGCAGATCACCTGAGGTTTGAGACCAGCCTGACCAATATGGTGAACCCCATATCTACTAAAAATACAAAAGATTAGCTGGGTGTAGTGGCAGGCAACTGTAATCCCAGCTACTTGGGAGGTTGAGGCAGGGGAATCGCTTGAACCCAGGAGGTAGAAGTGGCAGTGAGCCGAGATCACGCCCCTGCACTCCAGACTGGGTAACAAACGAGAGTGAAACTTTGTCTCAAAATGTGTGTGTGTGTGTGTGTGTATATATATGGCTATTCACTTCAGTGTTCATGTATGTATGTATGTTGGCTATAGGTATGTATGCATTTTTTTCATGGCAGTCTGTTTTATGTTTGTGTATTTTATTGTCTTACCTACTAGGCTATAAATTCCATGAAGGCAGAAATGTTATCTTATCTTATTTATTTGTTTGTTTGTTTATTTATTTATTTATTTATTTTGAGACAGAGTCTCGCTCTGTTGCCAGGCTGGAGTTCAGTAGCATGATCTCAGCTCACTGCAACCTCCTCTGCCTCCCAGGTTCAAGCAATTCTCCTGCCTCAGCCTCCTGAGTAGCTGGGATTTCAGGTGTGTGCCACCACACCCAGCTAATTTTTGTATTTTTAATAGAGTCGAAGTTTCACCACTTTGGCCAGGATGGTCTCGATCTCTTGACCTTGTGATCTGCCCACCTCGGCCTCCCACAGGGCTGGGATTACACATGTGAGCCACCCCGGCCTTATTTTTTTATTTTTTGAGACAGGGTCTCACTCTATCACCCAGGCTGTAGTGCAGTGGCTCCAACTCAGCTCACTGCAGCCTCAATCTCCTGGGCTCAAGCAATCCTCCCACCGCAGCCTCCCAAGTAGCCAGGACTACAGGTGGGGGCCACCCACCACACCTGGCAAATGTGTATATATAATTTTTTTGTAGAGATGGGATCTTGCTATACTTCCCAGGCTGGTCTCAAACTCCTGGGGTCGAGCAATCCTCCCACCCAGGCCTCCCAAAGTGCTGGGATTACAGGCTTGCACCACCATACCTGGCGACTTTATCTTATTTCATGCCATAGCCTCAGCACCTAGAATAGGGCATAGTGTATAGTAGATGCTCAATAAATGTCTGTTGAACTCATGGTTGGAAGGATGGATACAGGTATGTGGAGATGCATGTACACAAGTGTGCACTTGTTGGCTGAGTGATAAATGTGGGTGTGTGAACTTGTGGGTTTCCATCTCTCTGTGACTTTTAATGCAAGATCACAGAAACGTGGAGCCCACACCAAGGGGAAAGGAACTCAGTGCCTGTCCCTGCTCTACTCTCTGCCCCCAGTGGTGGCCACCATGAGGGACCTGGGGAAGAAGGAGACACTGGAGGCAGCTGCTGGGGAGGCTCTGGGGCAGACCCTCACTGTGGCCCAGCTGGACGTGTGCAGTGATGAGTCGGTGGCTCAGTGTCTCAGCTGTATCCAGGGAGAAGTGGACGTGCTGGGTAAGACGTCGCAGCCCCTGATTCACTGAGCCCCATCCTGGTCTGAGTGTAGACCCTCAATACGGCAAGGTCTGAGCACCAGCTCTCTGGCTCCTTGACCAATCTCTGAACCTGGACAGAAGGGGCAGACCAGTTGGCCAACAGGGGTAGACCAGTTGATCCTACCAATTGATTTATTAAGGGCTGGGTGCCGTGGCTCATACCTGTAATCCTAGCACTTTGGGAGGCTGAGACAGGAGGATTGCTTGAGCCCAGCAGCTCGAGACCAGCAAAATAGTGAGACTTTGACTCTACAAAAAAATTAAGAATTAGCCAGGTATAGTGGTGCATGCCTAATCCCAGCTACTCAGGAGGCCAAGGTGGGAGGATCACTAGAGCGCAGGGGTTTGAGGCTGCAGTGAGTTATGATAGAGCCAGTCTGGGAGACAGAGCAAGACCTTGTCTCAAAAATCAAAAAAAAAATTTTTTTTTTCTTGAGACGGATTCTTGCTCTGCGCCCAGGCTGGAGTGCGGTGGCATGATCTCGGCTCACTGCAACCTCCACCCCCCAGGTTCAAGCGATTCTCCTGCCTCGCCTCCTGAGTAGCTGGAATTACATGTGCCTGCCACCATGCCCAGCTAATTTTTGTATTTTTCGTAGAGGCGAGGTTTCACCATGTTGGCCAGGCTGGTCTCAAACTCCTGACCTGAAGTGATCCGCCCACTTCGGCCTCCCAGAGTGCTGGAATTACAGGCGTGCACTACCGCACCTGGCCAAAAATCTTTTTTTTTGAGATGGAATTTAACTCTTGCTGCCTAGGCTGGAGTGCAATGGTGCGATCTCAGCTCACTGCAACCTCTGCCTCCCAGGTTCAAGTGATTCTCCTGCCTCAGCCTCCCAAGTAGCTGGGATTACGGGCATGCACCACCACACCCGGCTAATTTTGTATTTTTAATAGAGACGGGGTTTCTCCATGTTCGTCAGGCTGGTCTCGAAGCCTGACCTCAGGTGATCCACTCGTCTTGGCCTCCCAAAGTGCTGGGATTACAGGCATGAGCCACCATGCCTGGCCCAAAAATCAATTTTTTAAAAAATAAAAATATTAGAGACACTAGTAATAATCTGAGGCCTGGGGGTGGGGCAGATTTTACGGAATAGAAATTCTCATCTATGGAGAAAGTCATATGTGGTTGGGAAAATTACTTGGATGAGTCACTTGGGGAAGACAGCATGATGCAGAAATAAGTCATAAGGTCCCCAACCTTCGCAGGAAAGTGGGTGTCACTGTCTTGATGCAATTTGGGGTCAGAATCGAATTGCTCATGGATTAAGGGGGCCACTATTCCCAGCAGCCCTTCCTCCCGCTCAGGGCTGAGGATCTCCTATGACAAATGCTAAACTGTGTTTAAAGATCACCAAGATTTCATATTTGTCCACCCACGATACCCTGGACTGGCCCTGGACTTGGAGTACGGGGTGGGGTGATTCAGGGGGTGTCTGGAAGTAATGCTAGAAGGGTAAGGGACTTTCAGGTAACCTTAGTACCTCTTCTCTTAGTGAATAATGCTGGAATGGGTCTGGTGGGGCCCCTGGAGGGGCTCAGCCTTGCTACCATGCAGAATGTCTTTGACACCAACTTTTTCGGAGCTGTCCGTCTCGTCAAAGCTGTGCTTCCAGGCATGAAGAGGAGGCGGCAGGGCCACATCGTGGTGATCAGCAGTGTCATGGGGCTGCAGGGTGAGCTGTGGGGACCCACCCCTGGAAATCCCATCAGCGTCTGATCCTCCCCAGACTGGGAGGACGGTGAATGGGTTTTAGATCATATTCTAAATCAGTGTGGAACCCAGGCTTAGTGATTCATGCCTGTAATCCTAGCACTTTGGAAGGCTAAGACGGGTGGATTGCCTGAGCTCAGGAGTTCGAGACCACCAGTAAGAACAGGTGAAAGCCCATTCTTACTAAAATACAAAAAAAAAAAAAAAAAAATCAGCTGCGCATGGTAGCATGTGCCTGGAATCCCAGCTACTCAGGAGGCTGAGGCACGAGAATTGCTTGAACCTGGGAGGCAGAGGTTGCAGTGAGCCAAGATTGTGCCACTGCACTCCAGCCTGGGCAACAAAGTGAAACTCTGTCTCTAAAATATATAAAATAAAATAAAATAAAATAAAATAGCCTGGAGAATTGTGTTCAGAAGGATTCTGAAGTTCAGAAGGAAAAAGTGGCCAGACATGGTGACTCATATCTATAATCCCAGCACTTTGCACGGCCTAGGCAGGAGGGTTGTTTGAGCTCAGGAGTTTGAGACCAGCCTGGTCAACATAGCAAGACCTTATTACTACGAATTTTTTTTTTTTAATTGGGCCAGGCATGATGACTCATGCCGGTAACCCCAACACTTTGGGAGGCCAAGGCAGGTGGATCACTCGAGATCAGGAGTTCAAGACCAGCCTGGCCAAAATTGTGAAACCCCACCTCTGCTAAAAATACAAAAAAATTAGCCGGGTGTGGTGGCACACATCTGTAGTCCCAGCTACTCAGGAGGCTGAAGCAGGGGAATTGCTTGAACCCAGGAGGCAGATGTTGCAGTGACCTGAGATTGTGCCATTGCACTCCAGCCTGGGCAATAAGAGCAAGACTCTGTCTCAAAAAATAAATAAATAAGTAAATAAACAAACAAACAAAAAACAACAAACCTTTGGCCAGATGCGGTGGTTCATGCCTGTAATCCCAGCACTTTGGGAGGCTGAGGCTGATGGATCACTTGAGGTCAGGAGTTTGAGACCAGAACGGCCAACATGGTGAAACCCCATCTCTAGTAAAAATACAAAAATTAGCCGGGCGTGGTGGTGTGCACCTGTAGTCCCAGCTACTCAGGAGGCTGAGGCAGGAGATTCGTTTGACCTCAGGAGGCAGAGGCTGCACTCCAGCCTAGACGACAGAGTGAGACTCCGTCTCCCTTCAACAACAACAAAAAATAAATAAATTAAATTTTAAAAATCAGCCAACCATCGTGGTATGTGCCTGTAGTCCCAGCTACTCAAGAGGCTAAAGTGAGAGGATCGCTTAAGCCCAGGAGTTCAAGGCTGCAGTGAGCTGTGATTGCACTGCTGCACCCCAGACTGCAGGACAGGGCAACACCCTATCAAAAAAGAAAAAGAAAGAGAGAGAGAGAGAGAAGGAAGGAAGGAAGGAAGGAAGGAAGGAAGGAAGGAAGGAAGGAAGGAAGGAAGGAAGGAAAGGGAGGGAGGAAGAAAAGGAGGGAGGGAGGGAGGAAGAAAGGGAGGGAGGGAGAGAGACAATAGCCCTAATGAAGAGAAAAATGAAGAGGATCCCCAAGTGGCCCCAAAGGTTTAGAGAATAGAGGGAAATAGGGGAGTTTCCTGGGACCAGGTGGAGCCTGGAGGAGGTGACACCCATCACCCGAGAACAACTTCGTTCTGACCCCATATGACCCCATCACACAATGCCATACCCCCATCATCTTGGCACCATGTATCTGCTCTGTCTGGTCTCCACATGCTCTTTGCTCTGTCTCCCAACGACCCCATCACCCTGGAACCCACAAAGCCCACCTCCCAGACCCCCAAAGAGCTCTCCTCCTTCTGACCCTCACAGGTATCATCTTCAACGATGTCTATGCAGCCTCCAAGTTCGCCCTGGAGGGATTCTTCGAAAGCCTGGCTATCCAGCTGCTGCAGTTCAACATCTTGTGAGGCGGGCACGTGGGCAGAGGGGGCTTGGAGGCAGTGGTGGGGAGGTGGCATTGAAAGGGGGAGAGGAGAGATGAAGACAATGAAGCTGGGTGCAGCAGCTCACACTTGTAATTCCAGCGTTTTGAGAGGCTGAAAGGGGAGGATCGCTTGAGGTCAGGAGTTTGAGGCCAGCCTGGGCAACATAGCGAGACCCCCATCTCAACCCAAAATTTAAAAATTAGCCAAGGGTGGTGGTGTGTGTACCTGCAGTCCCAGCTACTCAGGAGGCTGAGGTAGAGGATTGCTTGAACCCAGGAGTTGGAGATTGTGGTGAGCTATGATCATGCCACTGCACTCCAGCCTGGGCAAGGGAGTGAGACCCTGTATTTTAAAATAAATAAATAAATAAATAAATAAATAAATGGACAAAAAGGGTCAGGGAGTGGTTGGGGCATCAGACTGACACTACCCCTGCCCGGTCGCCAGCATCTCCCTGGTGGAACCAGGCCCCGTGGTCACCGAGTTTGAGGGGAAGCTTCTGGCACAGGTTTCTACAGCTGAGTTCCCAGGCACTGACCCTGACACCCTGCACTACTTCCGGGACCTCTATCTCCCAGCCTCCAGGGAGCTGTTTCGCTCCGTGGGACAGAGCCCACAGGATGTGGTTCAGGTGAGTGAAGGGCCCAGAGACCCAAGCGGTGGCTCAGGTACGTTGCAGGGTGAAGCCCTTCCTGGGTACCAGGGCTCAGGGGCTCCACTCTGCAGGCCATTGTCAATGTCATCAGCTCGGCTCGGCCACCCCTGCGCCGACAGACCAACGTCCGCTACTCCCCACTGACCATGCTCAAAACCGTGGACTCCTCCGGCAGCCTGTATGTGCGAACCACCCACCGCCTCCTCTTCCGCTGTCCGCGCCTCCTCAGCCTTGGCCTTCAATGTCTGTCCTGCGGCTGCCTCCCAACCCGAGTGCGGCCAAGATGAGCAGAACGGAGCTCACGATCCCCATCCCTGAACAACCAGACCTCTTCATTCCACATCTAATTCAAAGGATGGAAAGACGCTTCATTCATTCATTCTGCAAACTCCCCTTCCCCTGCTCTGTGCCTGGACAAGGCTAGAATCCCAGAAGCGCTCCATTTTCAGGCATAGACTCCTCTGCGGTCACAGCTGGAGCAGAGACAGGGACTCTGGGAACTTGGCCTGGGGAGCCCAGAGCAGGAAGCTGCAGCTGTCTCTGGGAAAGCAAGGGAGGCTTCCTGGAGGAAGGGGCATTGTTATGAGCCTTGAAGGATGAGACAGACCCTGCCACATTCAACCTCGTGACTTCATGATCCTGGGCCTGAGAATACAGGAATAATTCATAACCCACTCTGCACCCCCATGCAGACACCAGAGCTCTGTGGACCAAGGGGACATTCCTGGTCACACACCCCATCAACAAAATGTATTTGAGCACACACCAGCAATGTATGTATATTTTTTCCATTAAATATATATTTATAACCACAAGTTGTAGTTACATTTACTATTTAATAAAGCTCAATTTCTTAAAATTAAATAAAAACTTAAAAAGACAGTTGAACTACTGGCTCCAAAGAGAGAGAGAGAGCAAGAGAGAGAAAGCAAGCAAACAAGCCAAGCATGGTGCATCATGCCTGTAATCCCAGCACTTTGGGAGGCCGAAGCAGGTGGATCACTTGAAGCCAGGAGTTCGAGATCAGTCTGGCCAACATAGTGAAACCCTCTCTCTACTAAAAATACAAAAATTAGCTGGGCGCGGTGGCAGGCACCTATAATCCCAGCTACTCGGGAAGCTGAGGCATGAGAATCACTCGAACCCAGGAGGTGGAGGTTGCAGTGAGGCCAAGATGGCGCCACTGCACTCCAGCCTGGGCAACAGAGTGAGACTCTGTCTCAAAAAAATACAAAAACAAAAACTCACAAATGGATAAGCAGACTTTTGTATATCCTTAAAAAGGAAGGAAATTCTGACATGTGGGTAAATACTGAGAACACCATGCTGACTGAAATAAACCAGACAGAAAATTCCACTTATCTGAGATGCCTAAAGTAATCAAATTCATAGAGATAGAAAGTCACACAGTGGGTGCCAGGGGCTGAGGACTCCTCTATGGTCACAGTGGAGCAGAGAGAGGGACCCTGGGAACTGGGCCTGGGGAGCCCAGAGCAGGAAGCTGCAGCTATCTCTGGGAAAGCAAGGGAGGCTTCCTGGAGGAAGGGGCATTGTTATGAGCCTTGAAGGATGAGACAGACTCTGTTACATTCAACCTCGTGACTTCATGATCCTGGGCCTGAGAATACAGGAATAATTCATAACCCACCCTGCACCCCCATGCAGACACCAGAGCTCTGTGGAACAAGGGGACATTCTGAATATATACTTTTAAAAACTGATATATACTTTTTTTAATAGTATATACTGAATATATGCTTTTTAAAAATACTTTCAAAAAAGTTTTTAAAATAGTATATACTGAATATACACTTTTTAAAAAGTACTTTTAAAAACTGAATATATACTTTTTAAAAAACTTTTTCACTAAAAGCAGCACACTATACAAATAAATGTGAACTTCAGTTGTTTCCTTGAATCATATACACCTTGGAGGATTTTTTTTTTTTTTTTTTTCTTTTTTGAGACGGAGTCTCTCTCTGTCGCCCAGGCTGGAGTGCAGTGGCCGGATCTCAGCTCACTGCAAGCTCCGCCTCCCGGGTTCACACCATTCTCCTGCCTCAGCCTCCCAAGTAGCTGGGACCACAGACGCCCGCCACCTCGCCTGGCTAGTTTTTTGTATTTTTTAGTAGAGATGGGGTTTCACCATGTTAGCCAGGATGGTCTCGATCTCCTGACCTCGTGATCCACCCATCTCGGCCTCCCAAAGTGCTGGGATTACAGGCTTGAGCCACTGCGCCCGGCCAGAGGATTTTCTTTTTTGAGACAGGGTCTCGCTCTGTCGCCCAGGCTGGAGTGCGGTGGAGTAATCTCGGCTCACTGCAACCTCTGCCTCCCGGGTTCAAGCGATTCTCCTACCTCAGCCTCCTGAGTAGCTGGGACTACAGGTGTGTGCCACCACGCCGGGTTAATTTTTGTATTTTTAGTAGAGACGGGATTTCAACGTGTTAGCCAGGCTGGTCTCAAACTCCTGACTGATTCGCCCTCCTTGGCTTCCCAAAGTGCTGGGATTACAGGCATGCGCCACCACTCCCGGCTAATTTTTGTATTTTTAGTAGAGATGGGGTTTCTCCATGTTGGTCAGGCCAGTCTCAAACTCCCAACCTCAGGTGATCCTCCTGCCTTGGCCTCCCAAAGTCCTGGGATTACAGGCATGAGCCACCGCACCTGGCCATTATTATTATTTTACTTTTAAATTTCAAGACACAGAAACACAGGACATACTGATAGCACAGTGGCTCAGGCATATAATCCCAACACTGGGAGGTGGAGGCAAAAGAATCACTTGAGTCCAGGATTTTGAGACCTGTCTGGGCGGTATAGCAAAACCCCATCTCTACAAAAAATTTAAAAAATTAGCCTGGTGTGGTGGCCTGTCCCTGTAGTCTCAGTTACTCAGGAGGCTGAAGTGGAAGGATCCCTTGCATCCAGGAGTTGGAGGCTGCAGTAAGCTATGATCGCACCACTGCACTTCAACCTGCTGACTGAGACAGACCCTGTCTTAAATAAATAAATAAATAAATAAAATAAGAAAGGACATACATAGACTGATTCTGTTAAAACCCAAAGACAATGTCATTCCTCCTTTCAATCCTTTCAAACCTCTGCAGTGGCTTCTCCTTTTATTTAGACCTTTTTTTATTTAGACCGATTTTTTTTTAGACGGGGTCTTGCTCTGTCATTCAGATTAAAGTACAATGGTGCAATCACTCAGCCTCAACCTCCCAGCTCAGGAGATCCTCCCACCTCAACCTCCTGAGTAGCTGGGACCACAGGTGTGTGCCTCCATAACTAGCTAACTTTTTAAAAATTTTTTGTAGATATGGGGTCTCACTATGTTGCCCAGGCTGGTCTTGAACTCCTGGTCTCAAACAATCCTTCCACCTTGGCCTCCCAAAGTGCTGGGATTACAGGTGTGAGCCATGACGTCCGGCATGCTTCCCCTCTTACTTAGACTCAGATCAAAACTGCATCATTTGACCACTGAATATTTGTCTCAAATTATCGCCTACTTTTTCCCCATCACCCACTCATTCAAGCAACACTGACTTCTTTGCTGTGCCATTTCGTCTGTCTGTCTTTATTTCTTTTCAGAGACAGGGTCTCTCTCTGTCACCCAGGCTGGTGTGCAGTGGCATGATCATAGTTCATTGCAACCTCAAACTCCTGGACTCAAGTGATCCTCCAGCCTTGGCCTCCTAAAGTGCTGGTATTACAGGTGTGAGCCACCACTCCTGGCCTACTTGCTGTTTCTTAAACACACCAACCTCAATACCTTTGCACTTGCTGTTCCCTCTACATAGAATGCTTTTCCAAATATCCACAAGGCTCCCTTCTTCATTTCCTTCATGTGCTCAAATATCACCTCCTCCAAGAGGCCCTCCAGGATCACCTCAAGATAGCACACTGTCCCTTTATTTTCTTATCTGTTTTATTTCCCGTCGTCTGACATGGTTCTCTCTCTTTTCCCTCCCTCCCTCCCTTCCTTCCTCTCTCCCTCCCTTCCCTTTCTTTTCTTTTCTTTCTAAAAAAAAAAAAAAAAAAAACAAAAATAGAAACAGGGGTCTTGCTTTATTGAGCAGGCTGCTTTTGGATTCCTGGGCTCAAGTGATCCTCCCACCTCGGCCTCCCAAAGTGCTGGGATTACAGACATGAACCACCATGCCCTGAAGGCATATACTACTATGCTTGTTTCTTGCCTGTCTCCACCCACTAAAATGTCAACTCCGTGGGCAGGCGACTGTTGTCTATTTGCTCTACCCACATCATCAACACTGTGGAAATCAAAAACTGACTCAAGGAGCCTGGATTGGGGACTGGAAGTGATCAAGCTGGCACATCCGGGCAGTACAGTCCAACCTGAGAAGCTCCTGACACCTCCTACCGGGACAAGACAGGGTAATTCTCTAACCCTCAGTTTCTTCATCTGTGAAATGGAACTTGCCAGGAAGAAAGTCTTATTAAGGGCTGGAATGTAGTCGGTGTCTAATAAATTAGAGCCCTGAATAGTTATGTTGACGGTAGCTTTATTCCTTGGTCTCCTGGGTCCTGCCCGGCCTTGCCTGAGAAGCTCTGAGCTCAAAGCCCTGGAGGAGGGAGTAAAACCAGAGGCTGCATCTCTGCAAGGACACATCCCTACAAGGCCGCCCCTCCCGCCCGCGCCTTCTCGGTGCTAACTCCCGATCCCAGGGAGGGGAAGGCGGGCGGAATCTGAGCGGCAGGCGCAGCTGCTACGGGCGGGCGGCCAAAGTCCCCTCCCTCCCTCATTGGCATTCCTGCGGGAGGGGTCGAGCGCAGCTGCCTGCCTGGCCGGAGGCTCGCTTGCGCCCTCTGGTGTCCAAGTGCGAGAGGCCACGTGGACTTGCGCCCGAGCAGCCGGTCTGTCCCAGGCCACTGTCTGCCGCTCAGGTGGACCTGGGTGGAGCTAGGTCTACCCCGTACCTTTCTTGGGCTCCCTTTACCATTCGGGTTCACGAACTCAGCTTCCATCACTAAACTTGCTGTGTGACCCTGAGCAAGACACTCAACCTCGCTGTGCCACAGTTTCTTAGCTGTGCAATGTGGGACAGGATCCTTCACCTTTTTAGTGTCACTCTTTTTCTTTTCTTTTCTTTTCTTTTCTTTTCTTTTCTTTTCTTTTCTT